GTGCAAAATTCTCCAGTTCGTTATTTATTACCATAGCGTGACACGAATGACCGTTTCGTTAAACTAAAACTACTTCTATTAATAGATTTTCGGACTTTCACAATGTTAAAGTCATCATTTTATTTTAGGTACAGCAATATATAATAACCAACTGTGTACTACTAAAAAAACGAAGATTAATTGACGGATAAGATAATTTCATTTGAATATGTTTGCATTGCGAAATTCCCCAGTTCGCTATTCATTGTACATATTGCGACATTTCATTTTTGATAATCAAACACCCTCATACCAATCGGAATGATCGGCTATTATGACCGACGAAAAGGCCCGAGAAGTTGCAATTGCCCTTTCACAAAATCTGATTTCATTCCATAAGGGGCGTCGCGTTTTGGCGCGGACGCCAATAATTTGTCCAGTCCTCCGCCGAAAAAAACGATAAAAAAGTTTTACTTATTAAATATTTAGTGTTTACATGAGTAACAATTTGTTTTTATTCATTATTCAATGTCTAGCTGTCCACACACAATCAATGTACAAGACAGAACAAAAAAAAAAACAAAAAAAAAACAACAATTACATAATTGCTGACATTATGTTGCCTAGCAACAAGGACAAAATATAATCAAGCCAACTTTGAAAGCATGTCATCATCAATGAATTAGAAGACCTTGTTTTTAATTGTGTCCAATTTGAAAACTGAAGTGGCAGCATTTCAGCGTAACCCAGTATGCAATTTACATCATATAATTTGGATCCCCAACTTGAAGTTGTATACCCCCTGGGTTCTAGGTCCTTAGTGCTTAAATTGTATACTAGTCATATTACGTATAAGACCACATGTAGTGAAAATTATATACTTTTACAGAATCTTTCCAAAAAGCAGATTTTAACGTAATAATAATACAATACATGCACCATTGATATGTATTTTATTAAATGTTAAATAGTAAAGTTTGAAGTGGTCTGTGATAAGATAACAGGTCAAGGTTCCAGATTTTAAGCGAATCAACATAGATATATAGGTATGTCACTAAAACGAATTCAGTAAACCTATCTGAATATGACGATTTGACGCAACTAAATTGCTTTATCAGCAACTGAATTGTATTAGTTTAAATTATATTTTGTCCATTGAAATCCCCTTTCACTTTTCATATTCTTTGGTAACTTTAAATTTATTTCATCTGAACCGACGTTTTGTGAACAGTAGAGCACAGTCCATGTACATTTTGAACAGCCCTCGTACATGTATTATATTTGAATATCGAGAGGGGTTGAGGGCCCCCTAACCACCCCCAGCCCTTTGATACTATATAGGCTCGTTCATTAAATCAAGAACGGATATATACATAATCTAAAAAGTACATGCCCTCAGTCATACATGTTTTGCTAATTTAGATAAAGGGCACTTACAATCATATGCCATTGTTATAAATCAATATTAGATCTAAATTAATTGACAGACTAGCTGAAAAATATCCCGATGTGCAACATGCTTCTTTCATTATAAAGAATGCCAATATTCTAAATTAAAAAAAAAAAAACATTTCAGTAGAATACGGTTACATAATTTCACAAACCACGCATACACTTGGTTTATAATCAATTACTATTAAATTTTCATAATATCCGGTTATATAATCAGTATTATGCCAATTTCGTTATGTTCAAATCTTAAATAAGAATTTTACAAATACCCCACGAATTTTCCAGTATCCTAACTCAGGCATGGTTGTTCAACTGCTGCGTATACGTAAAATATATGTTCTAAATACATGTATAGCTGTACTCTGATTGGTCCAGACAGTAGTCAACAGAACAATTTATAATATCATATTCACTGGGGGTAGTATCTTATTTAATGGTTGAATTGGATTTCCCCAATCTAAAAATAGATCTAAAAACAAGAACTGTCACAGGAGATAGCCAAGCTCGACTAAAAAATACTGGACGCAGTAAGGAAGAAAAAACTATGAAAGGAAAATCAATTATGTATAATTATGTATTAAGTTAAAGTAAAAAATTAATATTTGTTAACATAATTCCAAGTTCAAGGAGGGGGGGGGGGGAATAATTCTGGAAATAATCACGCTGGAGTTATGAACATTGTCACACAACATGTGTGTAATGATATTGCCGAAAATTTGATTAGCATAACACGTCTTTTCGCAGATGACAGCTCCCAATGACATGCGTTACATAGAATCTACTTTAAATCACGATCTCGATATTATAGATGAATGGTCCAAACAATAGCTTGTAAGTTTAAATCCCAATAAAAAAGGTTATGTTTTTTTCATCAACTACATCCGACAAGCCTACTCTCCTTTTTAATGATAATGTTCTTGATTTTGTAGATCATCACAAACATTTAGGTATAACTTTTTTCAACAATATTACCATGTTAATTCAACAATGACATCAGCATATTGGTAACATTATTACAACAGCCTTTAAAGTTTTGAGTACCATGCGTGCACTTAAGTTTAAACTGAAACGCTCAACTCTAAATAAAATCTATATTTCATACATGCGTCCAATATTAGAAAATGCCTCCGTTGTGTGGGACGGACGTACAGTATACAAAAAACAATCACTTGAACAACTACAGTATGATGCAGCACGCATAGTAACAGGTCTTACTAGGTCGGTATCGATCAATTCGCTTATAAAAGAAGTTGGGTGGGTTTCCCTCTCAGATAGGCGTAAAATACAAAAAAATAGTTACGGTTTTTAAAGCTAAAAATGGTCTTCTTCCACAATACCTTGAAAACATATTTCCATCGCTAGTTTCAGAAACAACAAATTACTCGTTAATAAACAACAACAAACATAACCATAGCTAGGCGCACCGAAACGTACAACAAATCATTTATACCTTCTGCTACTGAATTATGGAATGCATTAGACACCGAAATTCGCGAAATTAATTATTTGAATATTTTTAAATCTAGAATAAAAGAAAAGTTTAAAGCCCCCGTAGTACCTAAACACTTTTTGTTTGGTATAGACCTTTTTACAATACGATTTTCCATAGCAATGAATGTTGCATTTCGCGCATGCGCATTCTGCGTAGGGCAAAAAGCAATAACGATGTCTAGAGTTTATCATACTTTAAGGCTTTAATAAATTCGATTTCATGTTATGTCACCCAAAAAATTTTAATTATGGGATGACTTAAGGCGGTAAGTACTGAAAACGTGAATTTATATTTTAACAGATGTACGAAAATGTGCGGGAGTAATAATTCAATGGTCAAAACGGGCACACATGTCTTTGTTTAAGGTATCATTAGACGACTTTTCCATCAGTAATTTAAATTGAAACAGCAGGGTGTTAAAGATAAAATTTTATTACCCCTGTATTACATAATATTACACAATTTGTATAGTACACTTCCTTTGAATAACTGGATTGGTCAGGCGGCAAGTGTCAAACAGATTGGCACCCGAACGTTTGTTCATTCAACCGGGACGTTTAAATATCATGATATAGTTAATCAGTTACGCTTATTTAAATGGTAATTTATGTAACTTTTAAATCTATTGATCAAATTGAATGTTTATGGATTTTGAGAAGAGAAAATTTGTGTGACGTGCATTATTAAAAATAACATTACGAAGAAGCGGATAAAATGGTGTGTTATATCTCTTCCAATCAACCCATCTAAACTTCTCAAGATTTTGAAAAAAAAAATATTTAAAATCTATTTGTGTGACTTAACTTTTTTCTGTTTGCATCACAGGCAAATCTGATAAAGGATATAATCAGGTATATATTGAACACTAAAAATGCATTATCACCTGTTCTGATATATTTTACTGAATGATAATTAATCTCGATTTCATGTTATATAATTTCTTTTGTTTTTAAATGAACTATTTCAAAAGCAAGTAAGTTGACTTTTCATTTGCTAATAGATATATTTCCACATCTTCTTTAAAAAATGATCTCAGTGTCAGGTCCATGATCGTAAATTCTTAATAAAGTATCTTTTCCATGCCTTTATATGACATTCTTCGCCACAAAGCGATAAAGTCATCTTTTCAATACTTGTTGAAAGCTATTTTATATAATTTTCTACCGTTTTCCTTGAACTAACTCGGAATTGTTTATGAACTTCTACTATATTTCTATGTAGGGCGAAGCATTTTCTGCCCTACGCAGATTGCGCATGTGCGAGAAAATTCTAATTCCGGTCGATTTTATATAGCAACGGACCGAGTCGTAAAAAGGTCTATAAGATATTTGTCAGTTTTACATGCTCGTTTAAGGAACAATTGTAGCAATTTACACGCTGACCTTTTCAAAAATCACTTGAGAGAAAGTCCGACTTGTATATGTGGGAACCTTTGTGAGGATGCCGAGCACTATCTATTTTGCTGTCCATTATTTAAACCTCAGAGACTTATACTCTCCGCAGAATTTTTCATCATCTTAATGTTGAGCTATTACTGTGGGGTAGCAATTCTTTAGATGTTAACAATAATGAGCAAATATTTACGGCTGTCCAAAAATTTATCAAAACTACTGACCGTTTTCGAATTTTGTAAGTCGGCCGATTGTATTAATCTTAATAACCTGGTACCATAAATAATTGACAATCACATTTATGATGGACGTTTACTCCCAATGACGAATAATGCTAAATGCTGGATCCATAACCTTGTCGTTATTATATAAGTACATAAATATACATTTTTGTCTTACTTATTTCTTACATTGTTTTAATCTTTTTGGTGTTAATCTGTCTTTATCTTTTTCTTTGGTCGATTTATATGTATACATGTCACACTTTCTCATGTTTCAATGTTGATTAATATATTTTTTCATGGGGAGGGCCGGTCGCTAATGTTGTAAGAACTTGGGTCCAACCCTTTTGCTATTTGTTGTTTCGAAATCAGTTTGTTTCTCTGCATATTTAAATGTATATATTACCAATAAAATATGATTAAACTTGTTTTAATCTTAGTAAAAAGTATCAACAAAATCTCAAATCTGTTTTTCAATAAATTTTATTGGACATCTGACATGCTGTAAATTGGTACAATATCTAAAATATAATTCTCACATCCTAAAATACACAAAAACTTACATAAAAGTGTTTGTGTTGTATAACCTAATACTGATACATTGAAGCGGAAATGACGTCATTTATTGGGAAAAAAGATCGTCTGCTTCTTTATCACAAGGTAAGAATACCGGAAATGTTCAACTTTGTACATGTAATACTAATATTAAAAATGTTTTGCTAAACGCATAAAAATTATTTAATGGAAGCATTAAAAAACTAATTTAAGAGCTAGTATGACGTCATTTTTTGAGAATGTCGTCTGCTGTCGTGTGAGACAAATCTGAGACCAATTGTGCCTATTCGTTGTAAAAAAATAAAATAAAAATCTCTGCTTAAAATACTTCAAGATAAAATTATTTGAAGTCATTAATGAAGCCATTCTTAAAAGCACTATATTACAAAAACCTTAAAAACTCTATATTACAAAAGATATCCGAACAATAAAGTTTAAAGAACTGTTAATACCATTTACAACTTTCAAAGGAGGCGAGTTTTTTCGAACATTTTATTACATTATGGCTGCGTAGCAATGTCCTACTTGATTTTTTTTTATCTGAATGCGGCAGATTTGTTGTTGATTGGCATATTGCGGACACTTTCCTGCGCGAGATACTCTTTCACTTTCGGTAACTCCTGGAATCTTCCGAGGAATGCTTTAAGTTTCGGGTATGCGTCTAGTGAATCAGATTTCATACGGGTATGTTGTTCCAAAAGCTCGTACATTGGGAAGTCAACCACAGTTATCTGTTTACAAAAATAAAACAATTAAAAACAACAATGTCAGTACAAAACATACTTTTTAAGACGGAAAATTAGCACGGATCCTGAGTCTCTAGTCTGAATAATAACTTCCGTTTTCATTGTGAAAAATTTATGCATTACAGCTTGCCGAAATGTTGTAACCCTCTCTCGCAAAACACCTTGACCCGCAACTAAGAATGTTCATAATTTGTCCTTATTCATGCATAAAATAGGTATGATAATTAGCTATTTGTAAATGCATACTCTTAGAGTGACCTTATGTTCTCATCGTGGTTTCAATTAATTAAATGATATTCAAATGCTAGCACATGTCTGTTGCTATATGTGCCAATATCCATTGACCTATTTTGAACTTAAAACTTTAATGGATGGCAATATCAAAATACAAAGAAATCGAGTTAGCCAAGGTATACAGCCTTGTCAGACTACCGGTTCACGTATGTGTCGGCTGGCTTAGCTCTATACTGTTGGTGAAATCTAATCAATTTCAAGGGTTAGAAAAAGTTAACATTTGTCAGTGGTTTTCCATGCGGGCCATTTGGCGTAAAGTATCTTATCAACGATAAACAACTTGTCACGTGACTGTTTTAAATTACCCTATCACCGGTAAATCACTTGTCACGTGACTGTATAAAATTACCTTATCACCGGTAAACCACTTGTTGTCTCCAAGCTTCTTTTCGAAAAGTGCCAGAGAAGTTTGAACATTTTTGAAATACTCGTCTTTTAAGCTTGCCTGAAATGTATATGTATAAAATATTAATTCATATAAAAAGCACAACACTAAGAATCTGAATCAAATATATGTATTGTCTTTGGCTATTCCATCGATCTTTGGCTATTACATCGAGGTGTATTTTTTTAACGATATGTATTTCATGACCTGTTGTGGCTGTCTCTTTTTTGTTGTATATTAATTGTGGTGAATGTATATTTTCGTTCCCTGTGTCTCACTGTATAATTAAGACAATGGTTAATTGAAAATAATAAAATCACAATTTAAATAAATTTTATTTATGCAGACAAAGTTGGAATATATACATGTATTTAAGAACATAATTATAATACAATTACAGATGCATTTCATGTACCAATATCATAAGTAGTACCTTATTGTAGCATTTATATAAAAGTATTAACATGCCCTTAATACAAATACAACAAATATTAAAGAAACATTTAAAACATAATATGAAATCTCTAAATTGTTTTTGGGGAATTAGGTTTAATATGAAATAAATAATGTCTTGGGGAATTAGAATTGTTTTGAACCAAAGGATTAAATCAATGAGCTTTTTAAATTCTTAATTATCAAAAGTGTTTAGCTTAAAACAATAATACATGTATTTACATAACTTTCAAAGTTATAAAAGTACATAATAAAATAACAGTTAAATAACCTTTTCTTAGCTAAATTAAACATTTACAACAATATTACATAAAACAGTATTTACAGACATTATGCTGAGAAACCAATAAAAACTTAATACAAAAATAGTAGTAAATATAAAAGACACATACCTGTATAATTAAGACAATGGTTAATTGAAAATAATAAAATCACAATTTAAATAACTTTTATTTATGCAGTCAAAGTTGGAATATGACTGCATAGGTTGTGTCTTTTCTAATATACAGGTTGGTCCTGCCAATATTTGGTCCTGAAGGGATGAGATTTTTATCAAAAAGTATACTTCCAAAGTTTGAAATCTCAGCATTACAAAAACACAGTTGAAATAAATAAGTCAAAATATCATAGGTGTACAAATATATAAAAAATAAAATTGCAAAATGAAATATAAAATATACATAATTAAAACAACTTATGTAATGTTATGTAATATAAAACATGGGGTGAAATTATTGCTTCATAACATATCTATGGAAGAAAAAACGTTCTCCTTTTTATGAAAGATTAAAATTTGTCTAAAAATTACTTACGTAATCTTTATTATAACATAATCTGACCACCCCATTTCTCAGATCCATAGCTTGATCTAAAAGCATGTCAACAGTTGCTTTTTCTTTAGCTGTGGATCCATCTGTAAAAGAAATACCGGTATGACTAAAATATACGTAACGGTGTTTTTTTGGCGCAATGGAGTGCAAAATTAACATTTACCAATATTGCAAGAATTTTAGGGGACATCTTCAGTTTGATTGAGAAATAGTAAATGGCAAATGTGCACATATTTTGTAATTGTTAAAAATCATAAAAAAACCAACAATATTTTGATAGCTTGTATTCAGATGGAATCAAATGAAAGTTGAAATAAAATTCAAAGAGAAGGGCATCTAGGACGGGTTACACACTACATGTTCATTAAGTTATTTTACCATTTCTATTATCAATGGCCATTTTGTTATGATACGTCATTTATAATTAAACTTTAACCTGTCTTTCCATTTTTCATAACCATAATGTGACAAGGATCGATGTTAAAAGCACCTTTTGTCTTAGATTTTGTTTTCTTCTGTAGAAAGGGCTTACATTTGTTTTATAAAGTTTTTAAAGGATTAAGAGCACATCAGATCCTTATCACCATACGAAAATATTTGTGATGAAGGGGAACAGAACGTAAACAAACATATATTTTGACTTACATACAAAATACTATAATAAGTGTACTAATAGTCAAAGTAGAGAGACGAAAATACAACTAGTCTATATGGGCAATGGGTAACTGTAACATGGCATCAACAACATGTTATCATTTTAATGCCTAAATGGGCCTTTAAAGGATCAGTTATATACGTATTTGATGTTAAGTTTGTTTGTCACTATGTCTTTTTATAGAATAAATTTATAACCAACATTCTCACCTAAATTATGTTTTCTGGCGATATGCTTCAGAATGGCGTTACTCTGAGTTATTTTTACATCACCGTCAATATAATATGGTAGCTGAAATACAAAAATAAAATCCGGATACAATTAATCATGGTTTTCAACTTATTTTAAATTTCTTACATCTTATAAATTCTATAAAGCAGGCCCAACATCCTAGTATGTACTAAAAATATATGTCCCAACATTTTGACAAAATCTAACTCAACCAGATAAGTGGTAAATTGTACATTCTTCTTTCAAATAAATGATTTTCTCGTTAAATAAAGGCGATGGCGACATGACCAAGTGGTTGACGCGTCGGTTTAGAAATATAATGAACGCTAGACATGCGGGTTCAAACCCTTTAGAATCAGAGGTATGCCGTTGCTCTGTCTGAGCAAGAAACTTTACACTCGTTGCTCAGTACTTGTTAGTCGTCAAGTGTTTCTATAGTCTTGAGTTACCTATATAACGAACTAAAATAAATTATGTATAAAAACTAATAAGGCGTATACTGAATTACATGCACTTACATTTGGAAAGTCCAGCAGTTCCCCAAATTTAGGTTTTACACTAGTCCATGCCTCTCTGCTCAATCCTGGTGCTGTAACGACCAGAAAAGGTTTCGAATACATGTATATATATGATAACACAAAACTCTGATGCAGTTTTTGCTACGATACCAAAATTTTGTGTTTATATTCAACTTAAATAATTAAAAACAAAATCAATAATTTTGGCAAAAAATCCAGACAATAACCGGACAACAAAACGTAAATTAAATGCAAAACCACAAAATCAACAGATCTATTCCTAGTTTTTTTACTGAGATTTATTTATCTCCTCTTACCCATATTTAAAAGTAACAGTCTTTTATTACAGTGAAACCTCTATAGTGTGACTCAGTGTAGATCAATAACCTCTCAAAGGGACACTACTGGTGGTGTTTTGACATGACGGGACTGGAAATAGTTTTCTGAGGTTTGTGAGCCAATTGATGATGGCCTGACCCAATAACTTGACCATTCCGACCCCATGGTTTTCGAAAATAATCATTTTTATTGTACAAAATTACCCAAAATGAAAAGCAATGCACCCCTTTTTACTAAAATCGGACATGAAATGCAGTTACTATCGATTTTCAATTCATTTTATGTATATTTTTTATTATTATATCATCTCTATAGTTTTAAGATTTTTGGCCTTCTGACCTCATTGAAGCTCCTTAAGGGTAAAATATACAAAAATGTTTCTACATCGCCATTTTAAAATATTACATATTGTAGTTCAAATGAAATAATATTTACGGTCTCCTTGTTCGTATACAGTGTCTGTAAACTCTTCTCCTGCATATGTAAGGAGCAATCTGATTGGCTGGGCAAGCTGAAGATAAAAAGACATAGAGCATTATTATATTTGTAAGTACTCTAATGATTTAATTGCAAACACTTTTGATATAAAACATTTCATAAACATTATTTTACACCGCTTTTTCAAAAGTGAGAAAAAAAACAAAGACTCTTGAAAACAATACAAATAATCTTTAAAATGGTCGCGAGTGTCTCAGTGATACACATTTTATTGCATGAACTTGCAGGAAAAGAAACTGTGCTCATCAATGAAATAAACTATTTTTCACTGTAATTTAAATTTACTACTTAAATATGAGCGTCATTATGTTAATTGGGGACTTATCTATGCAAAACTTATCTGCACATGTCACTCCAACGTTTAAGCTTGGATACATAGTTCAAGTAATAATTTCTGAATTGTTTCGAAATGTTTTTTAATTTGCCCAAACTTTACGCATTCTTGATAAGCGACATCGATTTTGTAATTTGTACGCAAGTTATATACATACATGTACATGATAGACGCTACTGAAGACGGAAGTAAACTTTAGACTACCTAAAATCGAGAAAATGACCCAAACTATGTTGATAAAATAAAGCACATGGCTTAATGACCATTATTTTTCTTCAATGGAAACATGCCCAATCGAATATAATATATCCGAAACTTATCAGTGACTTTGTTTGCTTTTAAGTTGATTTAAGCGAATGACAATGATAAAATATGCATGATTGTACAGGTACATTTTCTCAATGAATAAAGAAGGCAACTATTTTGTACTTTTGAAAAATGGCCTCTTACTGTATTACCGCCTCAATATGTGAAGCCAAATACCACTGGTTAATTCTAAACAATTGTAATAAAAATAATGAATTTTGCAGACTTTCACGGATAAAAAGATAAAGGAGGTTTTACTAATTTAATGTTTAGTTTGGGTTATATGTCGCACCGACACAGAAGAGGTCATATGGCGACGTGTTTCAGCTTTAAATTTACTGGTGGAGGATGACCTCAGGTGCCCGTCCGTACATTATTTCAGACATGAACTGACACCTGAGTAGAACCACCGATGTTCCCTAAACTAGCTGGATAGCTTCCTCACATGAAAGAAAATTTAATGTTTAGTGTTTAAATTTGTTTCTATTTCTTATTCAACGTTTAGCTGTCCACAAAACCAACCATTATAAAAACTGACTGGTCAATTGTTTGACCGATAGCCGTTTTCAAATACTATAGCGACCATCAAATCAATCAATCAATCAATCAATGTAAAAGGCATCTGAAACTATCTGAACTAAAAAAGGAAAACATAATTGCTGACTGACACGCCAAAGTTCATGCTGCCTAGCAACAAGGACGAAATAAATTAATCAAGGCAGCTTTAAAAACTTGTCATCATCACTGAATAAGAAGACCTTGTTTTTAAGGCCCAGTTGAGAACTGAAGTGTAAACATTTCAGCGAAACCTAGTAGACAAGAATGCAATTTTACGCATATAATTTTGGATCCCTAACTTAAAGGTATATACCCCGCCCCATCTTCTCTGCCTAAAAAAGTTTCTCCATAATCTTCGGAAGGACCCGAAAATTTAACGAGACCACATATAGTGTAAAATTATATACATTTTAAAGAATCTGTCCCAAAGTAGGTTTTAACATAACAATAATCTAACATCATGGGTATGTCCTTCATAAAATTGAGCCGCGTCACGACAAAACCAACATAATGGGTTTGCGACCAGCATGGATCCAGACCAGCCTGCGCATCCGCGCAGTCTGATCAGGATCCATGCTATTCGCTTACCAACCCTATTACAAGTAGAGCAACTGATAGCGAACAGCATGGATCCTGATCAGAGCTGCGCGGATGCGCAGGCTGGTCTGGATCCATGCTGGTCGCAAACCCATTATGTTGGTTTTGTCGTGACGCGGCTCAAATGTTAAATTTAGTTTCAAGTGGTTTATGGTATGATTACAGGTCAAGATAACAGATTTGAGGTGAATAAACATAGTAATATAGGTATGTTATTCAAACTTGTTCTGTAAATTTATCCGAGTATGACGACTTGAGCTTAGGCCTAATCAGCAACTAAATTTTTGTTTAAATTTTGTAGTTGAAATTATATTTTGTACAATGAAATTCTTTCACAATCTGTAACAAAGTCTTGTCATTAAATAATATCCTGCTAAATCAGCGTCTCATTTTCACACTGTGCAAAGATTCAGAACAAAATTTCAGCACTAATTACGTAATCTAGTTTTTAAGTCCCTTAGAGGGAGTCATGAGGCCGCCCTCCCCATCACCGCCTTGAATTGAATTTAGTAGTGTGTGAAACCGGGCCCCTCTGAGATTGAAAACTAATGAAAACTAGAAAAACTAAAAGCCAAACACCCCACCCCATCTGGAACATGCATTACTTACCCCTTGTTTGTTTATTTCATTTTACGCCTTTTTCAACAGTATTTCAGTCATATAGGCGGGTAGTTTCCTAACCATCGTTCCTGGAGAGTTACACCAGTACTAGACTACCTTCCTCCGCGCTTAACTACCAAAGCATCTCCCGGGGATCGAACCCACGCCAGAGAGGTAACAGGATTAGAAGTCATCGACTCTAACCCCTCGACCACGGAGGCGGTTACCCCTTGTTTAAATTTTATGAAATTCATTAATGCTGACATTTACTAGATCTAAATTAAACCTTTATACATTAAAATGGAACATTTTTTTTAACTTATTCTTTTAACTTTTGCTATATAGATTCTAATCATTAAAGATGATATGAACTGTATATAAACTAGCGCGGATCCGGAATAATTTGCCACAGGGGTTACTGAATTTCGATGTATTACAAATTTCATAGTCGTTTGGCATTTTAAAAGTTTTTCAAAAGTAGTCGTAATTTAGTGATTTTCACCGTAGAAAAAGAAATCATGTAATACATCTACAATATTATATTTTAATCTCGAGAGGGGTCATGAATGCCCCCCCCCACCCCCCGCTCCAACCCCAGTCCCTTGATACTATATATATATAGGCCCTTCGTATCAATATATCAACAACAGATATCTTAAAAAGTACGTAGGCCCTTCGTATCAATATATCAACAACAGATATCTTAAAAAGTACGTAGGCCCTTCGTATCAATATATCAACAACAGATATCTTAAAAAGTACGTAGGCCCTTCGTATCAATATATCAACAACAGATATCTTAAAAAGTACGTAGGCCCTTCGTATCAATATATCAACAACAGATATCTTAAAAAGTACGTAGGCCCTTCGTATCAAATATATCAACAACAGATATCTTAAAAAGTACGTAGGCCCTTCGTATCAATATATCAACAACAGATATCTTAAAAAGTACGTAGGCCCTTCGTATCAATATATCAACAACAGATATCTTAAAAAGTACGTAGGCCCTTCGTATCAATATATCAACAACAGATATCTTAAAAAGTACATATGTCCTCAATACAATACATGCATATATTAAGAACTAGAGCACTTAACAATCATATAATGTCTGTCATTGTTATAAATCAATACTAGAACTACATAAATTGACAGACGAGCAGAAAAATATCCCGATGTGCAATATAATACTTTCATTTAATTAATCTGTTACAATAAAGAATGCTAAAATGCTATTATTGACCTAATTTAAACATGTTCGGTAAAATGCGGTAAAATTGCGTAATTTCACTTAACCACGTTTACATTTGGTTTATAATCAATAACTATTACATAATATCGTGTTATATAACCAGTATCATGCCGATTTTATTATGTTCGAATTTAATATAAGAATTTTACGTACCCCACGAATTTTCCAGTATCCTAACTCAGGCATGGTTGTTGAACGACTGCGTACACACGTAAAGAAGAACAGATTATGCACTCGAACTGCAGATATGGAAGGTCACGGAGACTTAAAAGTATGGTGTACTGTGCGGGTCGTTGTACAGCGAATTGTAAAAGTATGGTGTCTATAGCGGGCGTTTATTAAATAATGGAGAAAGATGAGAACGAAATACCAGTCTTACAGAATTCTTCTCCTTTGAAGAACTATATGGTTTGTGTTAAATAAATTGATAGTTAGAATATACCAAACGAGGAATTATCGTTAAAATTTATTGACCGGATTATATGGTAAATCGAAATAAAGCCACGTGACGTCACATGAGGCTTTAACGTGAGATTTAACAGACGGCTATCATCAACTAATACGTATTGTGCATTAAACATTTATCATGTACTTAGCATATTATATAAGAAGTAATTACAAATACCCTGTACCCAATATAAAGTAAATGCACATAACAGCCTTAACGAAACCCGTGACACTAAGGGGTGGGGTGGGGGTGGGGGGGGGGTAGGTAATACTGAATCCTTAGATCATCCATATTTAAAAAATTATAAAATACATGAACATTGATTTCTATTTGTTCGATTACTTTATTGTATATTGTTAAAAATCGTTTCTTACGATTCATTCCATCAGCAATTATACATGACATACACTATGTTTATGTTATATGCCATTGTATTGAATAATATAGTTTTTTCGTTTCATTATCTACCGGGGAGGGCCGACCGCTAATGTTGTAAGAACTTGGGCCCAACCCGTTTGCTTTTGCTTTTTAAAATACATATGAAATTTGTATCTGTATTGTATATACATGTATATAGCAATAAAATATGATTAAACTAACTAATACGTATATATAGACGGCATACCGTTAGAAGTTGATTATATTCAGACACAGATACGTTCGTCTGATACTAAAACAGTTACACAAGCTTAATGTAGCTTGGACGGGAGCTTGAAATTTTATCTTTATGTTTGTGTTTTCTAACGAAAGTTCAGATGCATATTTTATAAAGGACATAATTATGCAACCCTTTTTCACATGGCTGTATTGTGCCTATTTTACTGCTCCGGGACGGCGGACATTTTCCCCATAAAACTTCGAAGAGCGTCTTGCAATATTTAATTGTATTGTACAGAACTTAGCAAAATGCTAAACATTAAGCAATCACCAGTATGAAATATTGTCAAACTCGTTTTCAACACACCAGATTGATCTGCGAATATAATAGTGAATTTGGTGAGCTATTACCCCCGTCTTGGTGGCCGACGAGGAATGGCTCTATATACAGTCGATGTCCGGATTTTTATTTCTTAAATACCAGACATAGGAAACTTGAATCAAAGTATAAATACATTTGAAGTAACAAACAGTTTGTTTAAAAAAATACTTCTTCTTTGGTTGCTAGAATCCAGAAATTAAAACAAAAGAATAACAAAAGTTAAAGGAGACAAAAGAAAATAAGTATTTTCAAAAGATAAACAAGAGCACCGCTAGCCGGAGCATTTTGTGCCCGAAAGTTTTTTTAGTAAGGATGAAGCATTTGTAAGACATGAGAATTAAATAAAGTATTACCTCCTTCAAAAAGCACTCCTCCGTTTTCAGTTTTAAGGTAACAGTGATCTTGACCATTGACATTGTGACCCCAAAATCAATAGGGGTCTTCTACCCTATATTGACAATCATCCTATGAAGTTTGAACACTGTGGGCCAACTGGAACTTAATTTATGCATCAGAAATAACAATTTTCAATGTAAAGATCAATGTGACCCTGACGTTTGACCTTATGACCCTAAAATAAATAGGGGTTATGTATTGGTCTTGGCTGTTCATCCTATAAAATTTTGGAGCTGTAGGTTGATTAATACTCAAGTTATTGAGCGGAAACAGTTTTCAGTTTTAATGTAATAGTGACCTTGACCTTTTACTTTGTGACCCCAAAATCAATAGGGGTCTTCCACCGAATATGGATAATCATCCTATGAAGTTGAAATTGTGGGCCAAATGGAATTTAAGTTATCCCGGGAAACTTTTTTTAGTTTTGGTAATTTTAGTCCCAAAATTTGCAAAGGGAAAGGACGACGCCGGGGGGGTAATAACTAAAATGAGTTTTTTTCGGGGTTTATTAAAAACATCTGTATTTAAAGTGGTGAAAACTTTTTCTATATTTATGGGAAAAGGGATTTTATTGTCCCCCTTTTTATTTCTAAAATTAGAAAATCAATCATGCAATCTGTTTAATTAAAAAAAAAATCTATAGATATCTATTTTTTTTCTAACAACAACAAGACCAATTGCATGTATACATTTTTACTTTCATGGTGATGAAAAGATGATAGGTATAATGATGTAAATTCTAATCTAATGATAAGATTCGGAGTTACTTGGATATTACCAATACCTTTAATAAAGCCTGATTATAATAAATTTAGTGTTCTTACAGATTATAAAGCACACACAATAAGATCAATAAAATGTACAAAAGGAGAGGTAGATCGAATAGATAAAGAATACATGTATCATTGTTCATTGTCTATTTTAAATTATAGAAAAGTTCTATATTTCTGTTAAATAGTCGGAAATTGACGGACGCTGCCAAATATCTTGTTTGCAATCGTCAGTCCCCGTCATTTAAGTGGGACGAATCGTAAATAAAGTGGAGCGAATCGTTATGGGGCGAATCGTCAGGGGGCCGAATTGTCTTATTAATTTTTCTGGCGCATATCAATGCTAGGAATAAGAAGAAAACACAAAAAAGGTAAGAAATACCGATGTATGTGTGACTAATTAAAACAAAGCTGATAATGTTATAATTAACAGTAACAAAAAACAAGAGGGCCATGATGGCCCTGAGGTCGCTCACCTGTATATAGGCCCCTGGAGCGGGCCAGTTTAAACCCCAGGGCTTTTATTTGAACAAACTTGGAAGATACCCATTAGATGTTAAATTTTGACTACACATGTATAATGAAAAACAATGACCTTCCCCCCCCCCCCAAGCAGGGCCAATTTTAACCCAAGGGCTTTTATTTGAACAAACTTGGCAGACACCCATAAGAACATGTTTCATGCTAAACATCTAAGCTCTAGCTCATTGGGTTTTTTAAAAGAAGATTTAAGTTTTTACTATAGACATATAGTTAAAAACAATGACACCCCTGGGGCGGGGCCAGTTTTGACCCCTGGGCGTTTATTTGAACAAACTTTGTAGACACTTACTGCTTAATATCTAAACTGTAGCTATTTGGGTATTTTCAAAGAAGATTTTTAAGTTTTTGCTATACAAATATAAGGAAAATCAATGACCCCCTGGGGCGTGGCCAATTTTGACCCCAGGGCTTTTATTTGAACAAACTTTGTAGACACTCACTAGAAGATAATTCATGCTTAATATCTTAAATCTAGCTATTTTGTTTTTTCAAAGAAGATTTTTAAGTTTTTGCCATACACATATAAGGAAAATCAATGACCCCCAGGGCGGGGCCAATTTTGACCCCAGGGCTTTTATTTGAACAAACTTTGTAGACACTCACTAGAAGATAATTCATGCTTTATATCTAAACTCTAGCTATTTGGTTTTTTAAAAGAAGATTTTTTAAGTTTTTGCTATACACATATAAGGAAAATCAATGACCCCCAGGGCGGGGCCAATTTTGACCCCAGGGCTTTTAATTTGAACAAACTTGGTAGACACTCATTAGAAGATATATCGTGCTAAATATCTTAGCTCTAGCTCTTTTGGTTCTTTAAAAGAAGATTTTTTAAGTTTTTACTTTATGCATATAAGGAAAATCAATGACCCCCAGGGACGGGGCCAATTTTGACCCCAGGGCTTTTATTTGAACAAACTTGGTAGACATTCATTAGAAGATGTTTCATGCTAAATATGTTAGCTCTAGCTCTTTGGGTTCTTTAAAAGAAGATTTTTTAAGTTTTTACTATATGCATATAGGGAAAATCAATGACCCCCTGGGGCCGGGCCAATTTTGACGCCAGGGCTTTTATTTGAACAAACTTGGTAGACACTCACTAGAAGATGTTTCATGCCAAATATCTAAGCTCTAGCTCTTTGGGTTATTTAAAAGAAGATATTTAAAGTTTTTTCTTTTGGTTGCCATGGCAACCAAAATTCTGCATGGAATAAATTCTTTGAACAACTTTGTTAAGGCTTCACACAAGGAACATCCCTGTGAAGATTCATTATTATCTGCCTTATGGTTTCAGAGGAGATGTCGTTTTAAAAGTGTGAACGGACAACGGACGACGGACGACGGACGAAGAGTGATCCTAATAGCTCACCCCGAGCATATGCTCAGGTGAGATAATAATAAATACTGTACAGTTAAAATATTAATTAAAACTGTCTATCCACATAATAATCATGTCACTCCGGGCTTTTAATATACCCCAGGACAGGGACTTTGAAATATCAGCTGGCATAGAATTCCAGATCATGACAGTATATATGTGGAAAAAAATAACACATAAAAAATAACACTGAGTTTGGATTTATCTAAAAGTTAAAGAAAATCCATGTATATCGCGAGCCAGACTGGAGAAAGAATGTAACAAGGCGTTAATACTGCAAACAGTCAATTTTTTTCTTTTTTAAAAATCAGTAACTTGACACCAGTCCTTCCGTTACAAGGGTACCCCAGCCAGCATGACCATATCGGGCCGATATAGGATTAATATCGTATGTCGGCAAAATATTCCGACCTTTAGCCGACGTTGGGTCGCTGCAGTGCCAACATATTGAGTGTTTTGAAAAATTCTAAATGCAATGACATTGTGTACTTAATAATATGAATGAATTGTCCTGTGTATGATTTCAATTACTAGAACCACATTTAGTATTACATAAAATAATACATCGGGTCTGCGTCGGGCCTATACATGACCTATCAATGCAACCTTTCTTGCGTTTTCTATTGAACTGATCATCATGCAGCAAACAATTCTACATTTTTATATGAATTTCTAAAATTATTAAAATAATATGTGGCTTGTTCATTAAATTCAATATTTATGTTTTTTTGAGTACCTAAAATCACTCTTCCGTTATATTGTAAATGAACGGCTTGCAAATATTCACTGCAGTCTTACGGTATCAAATTTTAGTACTAGATTCTTCAAGAACATGTTCTCAGTAATGTGGGCATGTTCTCTCTTTGATTTATCCTCTGTTTCCTCCTGTACTATGATTTATTTTCTGATGAATGGGTTTTAAACGGGTAATAGTGTGTCAAGAATGTTAAAAGTATAATTTCAAATGTGATGATACCCTTTTGATATCAACAATATGAATAACAACAGAAGTATATTCACTGTCATTTGTGAAGAACCTGAAATAAAATAAAAATATAAACTTTTGAAGACTTGAACAAACACCAGTAACGAAAACGTTATGTCATTTTCATAAAAAAAGTACATGTCATTCAGGTGATCACAAAATATTATCAATCTTTCGAGGGAAAACAACAACAACAACAACAAAAAAACAAAAACAAAAAACAACAACAAAAAAAAAAAAACAAAAAAAAAACAGGAAACAGGAATTAAATATGTAAAGTTTCGCATGTGTAGAATAGGTAAAAGTTTAAATTGTCAATTTATAATTTTGTTAACCAAATAACTATGTTACTGGTATAATGGTAGCAAAAAACCGTCCAATCGCTGAATTTTCATGTCAACTATTATAGTAGTCAGTAACCAACAGTAAGTTGCTGAATTTCTTCCTATCCTTACAACATATTTGCCAAGAAACAGCGGTTAATCATCAGAAGTCTTTGCTACAAATATATTTATCCGTAAACAACTTTCTGTGATAATGATAATGGAACAGTGCCTTATAAAATATTTTATTAATAGTTCGCAAAATATGTGCAGTATAAAATACCTTTTTAAGTGTATAAAGCTATATATATATATTTATGGATCATTCCTGTAAAGTTAGGTCAAAATCTATCAAGTGGTTTGGAAAATGACGAAGGGCGAACACGTTTTATGCTTAGGTGAGCTAAAAATGCGCTAATAATCACAATGTAATATACTTTTTAAAAGATTTAACCATTAAAATTAATAAAGATTATGTTAAACAAAATGGTATAAATACTATTGAGATTCTGTGAAAATATAAGATAAAATATTTACCGCAGGTAAAACAACAGGCCCCAACTGGCTTGTATTTGACGTCACACTCCAGCACAGTATCACACGTGATATTGGAGCAACTTTCAGTGCCGTCGACCGTACATCTGCACACGTGACAAGGGTCATTGTTTGTGCGCTGACCTTAAAACACAAAAATATAACGATCATCTGATAAACAATCAAGTAGAAAATCCTGCTTTTCACTATTTAATGTTTTATTTAAGGGTAAGTGAAAGTAAGGGTAAGTGCGGACAGTTATATGTTAAAAAGAAAAGTTTTGGCCAACTTTCGGCTCATATTTGTATGAAAATCACTAGTAGCTCGTCCATTAACGATAAGTCTAATGACGGAGTAAGCCGAATGTTGCGATCCACAACAAAAAAAAAGAAAAAAGAAAAAAGACAAACAACAACAACAACCACAAAAAATCAAGAGTATCTGGTAAGCTTGCGATTGCCATTTATTCCATTATATTGCTTTATTCTACAAACAATAATTGAGCATTTCAAATGAAAAATATCCAAAGTAATTCACTATTGATTGGTGAGAGACAAGTATTACGAAATTTAGCTGCCTGTGCAGCAAAAAATACGAGCTTCAAGTTCAACTTTTATTCCCTTAGTAATCTTAATCAACGTCAATGAGTTACTAAAACTTACCGACGGTAAAACGTCTGTTGCCTATGTCACACGTTGTCCCTGGTGATTGTGTTGTTACATTGGCACACACTTTACAACACTGACCTGTGATATTCAACCAACCACCTTTACATAGGTGTGGAAGATAAAAACAGCTCTGTTTCCATGTCGTCACTACCCCATAGTTACATTCAGAACCGAAGCAGTTATTTAGATCTTTTGTTACGATCGATCCTAAAACGAAAAGAAACAAGCAATTATCATAGTATTCCAAGCAATCCATAAGTCCAAAAAAAGGAAACACGACTGCTTTAAGATAAAAAAAATTGACATAATTTGATTTTTTTTCTATTTATTATTATATATTTGGGTATTTGTCTCGGCGTGATGAAAGGTCGAAAACCAATCGCAACTTCTGGCCTTTTCCGTAAGTCTTCGGATAATCTTGAGATAGTCTTATAGATAATAGCCTGGTCGAAAACAAGACAAACTGTGACTATCGTTTTATCATATTTTTATCTTTATCGTGTTTGCACTTTGTCCCTCAACACGCAATGAATTGTTTCGTTTAGAACTCCGTGTGGGCGGGGCAAAGACACGAAACGAAAAGCACTTGAAAACACGCCAAACCAGGCTGGTCAAATGGCGATAAATACCACACTAAAATCAGTCGCCTTTCCGAACAGTTTCGAAAATGTAAAGATAATTTAAAAAGTGAGTTTTTGAAGTTTGCATTTTAATTTTAACTTAATAAAATTCCCTTTAAAAAAACCTGCTGCTCTTAAAAATTTTTACGAAAATTTCTGTAAAGTAGAGAAAATATTCCACGGGCTAATTTTGTCATTTGTGGTAATTTTACAATTAAGTAACATAGATAATTTTTCCCTAAAAAAAACAAAAACGGGGGATACGTCCGGTCGGTTTTTGTTTAATCAACCGTTTCAAATTCCGTATTTCCAACACCTTGCCGATTACCAAAAAAATCTAATCGGGAGTTTAAAACGGAAATTGCCGAGAAGTTCTTTGTTGACAAACTTGTTGGGATTAATCATAAAATATGGGAAATTCTATAATTTTATGCCATAGGTATATGAAAAATATAACCATCTTACCGGTGAATACCTTTCCATTTCCCAAACATCCGTCTGCTGGGATACTCGGTGTTGTTGTCGTTTGTGGTGGTGTTGTTGTCTGATTGTGACATACAGGACAACACTGACCGGCAACTTTTTCTGACTTTCCGGCACAATAAGGTGTATGGAAAGCACATTGATCATCCCATGCCACCGTTTGACCGTCTTGACAGAATAAACCGTAACATTTATTTGGGTCTGTTTCAATCTTCGCTCCTTTAAATAACAGCAAATACAGATTTCTGTTACAAATAGACACATTGACAGTTATTTCAATTTAAATATAACACATTAAGCACAGTGCTGGGCTTTAACTTTGTTCTGATGTGCCTATATTTTTTGTATCGTCTTTGCAATGAATGAACTATATATATGTTCCCGCAAGAGAGAAAAAAAATCCACATAATCTGTATAATTTGGATAGTGAACCCTCATATAGTCTAACTGAGACTTTAAATTAACATAGATCTAGGTTATTATATATAATACATAATGGTAACAAATACTTTCATATAGTTAACATGAAACTGGTTATTATCAGCGGTTAGAACATACAACCGTAAGATTTAAAATCATTAAAAACTGAATGACCATAAATCATACATCCGAAAATTT